GGCCGGGGTCGGGGTCTCCGTGCTGGTGGTGGTGGTGGTCGGGGAGGTCGGCGTGGTTACAGGGGAAGGCGTGGAGATACAGTGTGGAGGCCACGAACAGCAGTAGACGTTGATCTCATAGTTGAGGCAAGAAGGCTGGGGCATGTATCCCCCTGGCTTCTGGTTTTCATTTCTGCACACCAGCCCGACATTGATGTCGCAAGCCACGTTCTGCCCCAGCTGCCCAAGGGGGATGTCAGGGAACTTGGCGGCTCTGCAGGAGATGTTGGCCGCCCAGCCTGGGACACAGACCTCGACAGATTCGATGTCTGCCCCCGGTTTGGTGTTGTCTGGTTTCCCTGAATCCAGCCAGCCAGTCCAATTGCACTCAGGCACGCACGGAGTGATGGTTGATCCCGGGGTAGGGGTGGTGGTGGTTGTGGTGGTGGTGGTGGTGGAGGCCGGGGTCGGGGTCTCCGTGCTGGTGGTGGTCGGGGTGGTGGTTGTGGTTGAGGGGGTGGTGGTTGGGGCCGTGGTTGGGGACTCGGGACACTCATGCATCGGCAGGCAACAATTGACACGTATTTCATAGTCATAACAGACTGCGAACGGCCCGTTTCCAAACTGGTCTTCGTTGAGGCAAATGAACCCTGAGGAGACATCACACTGTACCTTCTGGCCCGTCTCCTCCCAGCTGAGCTCTGGCTCCGTGGCCAACCTGCACTGGATGTCCTCGGGTTCCCTGCAGACACTGTCGAATTTCTCCCAGTCTCCACCGGTGCTGTCCATGCTGGGGTGGTTCTCGTTGATCCAGTCGGACCAGAAGCAGCACACATCTGGGGAAGCAAATCCGGGATCGGATTGGTCACCGAGCCTGGACGCAGCTTCCGGGGAGCCCCCTGGGACTGGCATGACCGCCCTCCTATCACGGCCAAAGAGCTAGGGTGTTGTCGGCTCAGAGAGTGTGGGCCCGGCTCCGCTTCCTCCCTCCTCCTGCAGCTCCACACTGAGCCCCAGGGAAGGAAGAGCCCCTCACGCCACACCTGGGTGACAGCCCGACCCCCGGGCTGCAGCCCTCTGCCCCTCCCTTGGCTGTTTTCAAATCCTGATGTCCCCCTGAAAACAATTAGCATGGACAGGGTCAGCCATTCCAATGAGAAAGCCCACGGGAAGGGGCTCGGTCTGGACGCTTGAACAACAGTGTCACCCCGAGCCGCTCTTTCCCCCGTGCGTCAGCCAGGCACCCGTGAGTCCCAGGGGGTCATGCCACCCAAAGCACCCTCTCTGGTGAAGTGAACAGCACGGGCCACGGGCCCCACATCCGCATCTCCTGGGCAGTTCCCGGAGCAGCTCCGGGTGCCCTGCCCCCCACACCCACCCGCCTCGGGGACACTGCCCACACAACTTACTGGGAGTGGTTGAGGACGGGGTCGTTGAGGAGATGGTCGTTGCTGCACAAGAGCCAGAAAGGAAAGGACGCTGTCACTAGAGATTTTGACACCTTTAAAACTCTTTTATAATTTTTACAAGTCCCTTTTTCCAGTGGCTACCACACCCCCGTGGCTCGTCCGGTGACGGCTACCACCTCAGTGAGAACAATCATGGGGGGATTTAAGGACCTTCCTCTGCTTCTCTAAGCCTCAGGGGTATTTTCTTGCTGGTTCGGGAAGTGTTCCTAGGTCACCTTCACTGCGGTCTGGGCTCAGGGATGTGGTCCTGATGCCACATCTCAACTCGGCAGGCCAGGGGCCCCGGTGACGTCCCCTGAACGGAGACGCCTGTGAGCTGCGTGCACCCCCCCCATTTCAGCTGGGCCCGGGGCCTCACCTGTGCTGGGGATGGGGGTGGGGGTGGTGCTCGTGGTGCTGGTGACGGGGGTGGTGGAGGGCGGCAAGGAGGACGAGGGAGGCGAGGTAGGCTGGCAGATGTTGAAGTGTTTCTCCACCGTCCCGTTGGGACCGCAGATCACCCAGTAGCAGAAAGACCCATCCTGGGTATAGTTGAGAATCTTCCCTGGGGGACGGGCGGGAGGCCAAGGTCAACATGGCAAGGACAAGACAGAGCCTCTCGAGCACCCCCTGCCCGCCCCAATCAGAGAAAGACTAGGTGTCCCCCAGCCCCGACCAGCGGCAGACCGATCTGCCACCGGGACTCCATCCCCAGAAACCCATCGGAGCGCAGAAGCCGGATGGCACAAGGGGTGACCTCGGCCCTTCATCACAGGCCTGGGGAGGCCGGTGCAAGCCAGAGCCGGCTCTGAGCCAGGAAGGGCCTCTGGGGACCGCAGGAGCAGGGCAGGGTGACACTGAGCCCCACCCCCACAGTCCAGGGACAGGCAGCTTGGTGGCTCTCCTGGGCGGGAGGGCAGCTCACCTTCTTCGGGCCGGCAGACAACTTCCGAGGAGTCGGTACACATGCTGCAAAGCAAGCACAGAGCTGCAGACCCCGAGCACACACCCCCCGCCCAGGCCCTCCCTGGTGCACCCCGGGTGCAGCTCCAAAGGAGCCTGCCCACTGGGGTCTAGCTGTGGGCCGAGGAGGACAAGCTGAGGCAGGCAAAGGCCAGACAGAGCAGGAGGATGAGAAGAGACAGGCTGGCCTGTCCCCACGTCCTGTTCCTGTGTCTATACCTGCGGGTGTGCGCCCCTGGCCGTGCGTCCACACCCACACACACGAATGTGTGGTGTGTGCGTGTAGGCATATGCTCGCGTGTGCACCTGTGCACACGAAGCCACGTCGCACGTGCGCGTGCGCCCGACCTCCCCCGGGCTCCCTGCAGGGCGGACTTAGGTACCAAGACTGGCAGTCCTTGTCGGAGGGCACGGACGCTCCAGGTGGGTAACGGGTGTCCTCGACGTAGCAGCCACACTGGTCGGCCGTGACGCACTTCTTCTTGTCCTCGTCGTAGATGGGCCTGTCCTTGGGGCACCGCGGGTAGCAGCCTGGTAGGCACAGGGTACGGGGCTTGGACCGCCACGGAGGATCCCACATCCTCCAGACCCCACCGTCGTGCCCACCATGTCAGGGCCTTCTCTCCAGGAGGTTCCTCGGGAAGTCCTAGGTACCCACTCGCTGGGCCCTGCACACTGCCATAGGGCCAAAGGGATGGCCAGGCCCCTCCCAGCCTCCTGGGGAGGTGGGGGAGGGCACTCCCTCCCCAGATCTGCAGGTGTCTCACCCCTTCACATCCCTAGTTCTCAACTCCAAGGCCCTAGGGAGGTTCCCCGGGACCCCTGGGTGAGACACCCGCCCGTCCTGCTTCCTTCCGCCTCTCCGCCTGGGCGGGGTCTTGGCTTTACAGCGAGGTGGGCCTGGTCCGCCCCGGACCTCAGGTCCCCAGCCCCACAGGGCCTCTCCCAGGCGACCCTGCGGGTCTGCAGAGGACCCTGTGCCTCGGCCCCCAGGGCACGCTCACCCTCCAGGTAGGACACGGAGATGTTGGAGTGGATCCCGTTGACCGTCCTGCAGGTCTCAAAGCTGCGGTTCCCACACGGCTCGTAGTGCCACTCGCACTCGTCCGGGGGGTTGTAGTAGTCACAGAAGATGGCTGTGGGGGACGCGG